TCTCCCCTCACCTCCTCTGGCTTGAAAGAGCTTAAGATGCTTCTAATAACATGTTTCTTGTTCTCATTCTCTTGTTCTTGTTGCATCTTGTTCCATGACACTTCTCACCTGATGAAGTTCATGAGCCAGGTATGTGACACAACTTCTGAATTCCTCTTTGTAGTTCCAAAGTGCATGTGTGTATGTGTGCGACCAGGAATCCTGGGTTGGTAGAAGAGAAAGAACATAAGAAACAAATATTAACCACAAATGATCACTTACAGCGGTTTTCTCCTTTAATCTCCATGCTTGCTGCTACTTTAACTTTACAGCATCTTTAATTCCCAGCAGCCTCTCCAGGCACCTTTGTTTCAAGTGTTTCTCACTTTATTGCATCAATATTCTTATTTTCCTTCACTCATTCCTTGATGTCTTTCTCAGGCTCCAAAGTGTTTACATATGTATTCTGTTTTCTCTATTTCTCTGTTTCCCATCACTGCTTGTTCCATGACACTTACAGAAGTTCACGAAGAAGGTATGTGACCCACTTAAAGAATCTCACTCCCTTTCTCTTTGGGCTGGTTTCCACTACAGGGAGATCAATGCTGCTCCAATCGATGCAGCGGGGATCGATTTAGTGGGTCTAGTGAAGACCCGCTAAATCAATGCCAGAGCGCTCTCCAGTCGACCCCCGTACTCCAGCTGTCCGAGAAGAGTAAAGGAAGTCGACTGGAGAGCATCATCCGTAGACCCAGCACATTGAAGACACTGGGGTAAGTCGACTTAAGCTATGTAGATTCCAGCTACTTTATTGGTGGATAGAAAGCTGGCTAGATTGTCGGGCTCAACCGGTCCATGTCTAGTTGGCAGCTGGTATCAAGTGGAGTGCCCCAGGGTCGGTCCTTGGGCCGGTTTTGTTCAATATCTTCATAAATGATCTGGAGGATGGTGTGGATTGCACCCTCAGCAAGTTTGCAGATGACACTAAACTGGGAGGAGTGGTAGATATGCTGGAGGGTAGGGATAGGATACAGAGGGACCTAGACAAATTAGAGGATTGGGCCAAAAGAAATCTGATGAGGTTCAACAAGGACAAGTGCAGAGTCCTGCACTTAGGATGGAAGAATCCAATGCACCGCTACAGACCTAGGGACCGAATGGCTCGGCAGCAGTTCTGCAGAAAAGGACCTAGGGGTTACAGTGGACGAGAAGCTGGATATGAGTCAACAGTGTGCCCTTGTTGCCAAGAAGGCCAATGGCATTTTGGGATGTATAAATAGGGGCAGATTGAGGGACGTGATCATTCCCCTCTATTCGACATTGGTGAGGCCTCATCTGGAGTACTGCGTCCAGTTTTGGGCCCCACACTACAAGAAGGATGTGGAAAAATTGGAAAGAGTCCAGCAAAGGGCAACAAAAATGATTAGGGGACTGGAACACATGACTTATGAGGAGAGGCTGAGGGAACTGGGGATGTTTAGTCTTCAGAAGAGAAGAATGAGGGGGGATTTGATAGCTGCTTTCAACTACCTGAAAGGGGGTTCCAAAGAGGATGGCTCTAGACTGTTCTCAGTGGTAGCGGATGACAGAACAAGGAGTAATGGTCTCAAGTTACAGTGGGGGAGATTTAGGTTGGATATTAGGAAAAACTTTTTCATGACGAGGGTGGTGAAACACTGGAATGCGTTACCTAGGGAGGTGGTGGAATCTCCTTCCCTAGAAGTTTTTAAGGTCAGGTTTGACAAAGCCCTGGCTGGGATGATTTAGTCGGGGATCGGTCCTGCTTTGAGCAGGGGGTTGGACTAGATGACCTCCTGAGGTCCCTCCCAACCCTGATATTCTATGATTCTATGATTCACATAGCTGGAGTAGCATAACTTAAGTCGATTTACCCTGGTAGTGAAGACAAGCCATTCCATTGCTGGGAAAACAGTATTCAAAAAGGTTAAGGTTGCATAAGATGAGGACCAAGAAAGGGATGTCCGGGGGGGGGACGGGACGATGGCGGGAATGACCTCTTTTCTGAAGAGTTTTGGATGAACATTGAGAAAAGGGTTGTGTTTGCCAAGCATTGTGGTTTCAAGCAATATGAAAAGAGTGTTACAGGTTCTATACTGAAACTTCTGGCCTAAATTTTCAAGTGGGACCTCCAGTTTTGGCTGCTCAAAATGGCCTGATTTTCAGAGAGTGGATGCTCAGCATTTTCTGAAAATCAGTCCCCTTTAAGGTGTCTCATGCTGGGCATCCAAAAATTGCAGCACTGATGATCCATAGACACTTGAAAAGTTAGGCTTTTGAGTTTAGCTAGAGCTACTGAAGGAGCTTTGGGTTATAGGTCAAATTATCGGGCATGTTCTGAGTTCTAGAATGAAAAAATTAGCATGTTGGGCAGTCCCTGCAGTGATGCTGGAAAATGCTTGACAGACCCGTGGCTGCTTTTGTGATCTTTGAGAGAGACAAGAAGATTAACATTTTGCTCTCAGAACTACTTATTTTGCTGCAAAGCTTGTTGACGATCCTTCAGATTATATGGTGGTATTTGCCAAAATTGTAATTCCAAGTACAGGTTGATCCATCTTGTCCATCTGTAATTCTATAGTGTTTCTTGGAGAGCATCTCACACATGGTTGAGGGAGATGGTAGTCACAGAAAGAGAAGAAATAATGGATGAAGATTTAGATGGATGGAAGGGTGTCTAGATGAGTGGATAAGAAAAGTGACTCCACAGAATTCTGCCAAAGTGAAAAACATACTGTGAAGAATAAAGCCACCCAATTTCACAAAATATGTTAGGTTATTTGTTATGGTCCAAATTCATGATTTCAGTACCTAATATACCTAATCTATAATGCTCAGTATGGAACTGCACAGTTTGGGGGTCTGGAAGGTGACATTAAAGAAAATTTCAGTAATTCAACACCCACGTCATTCTGATAGGGTTTTTTTCAGACTGGGGATTAACAGGAGAGAGATGCAGAATTGGTTTGGAAATAGTTTCAACTAACAATAGGAAAACAATCTTCTGTGTAAAAAGCGCATGGCAAAATGCTGTTGTCTGTTGAGTCTGGTGTTCTCCTTTCTTTGTAAATTAGACTAAACAAAGCTCATATTGCATGGTTGAGAGAGATTCTGAGGAGGCAACATCTAGAATTTGGAGTCATGTGCTTTTCTTGTCTTTGTTCAAATCTCCACGTATGGGACTACTAGTTTTCTTCTCATTGAAATAAGACCATCCCACAGCAGGGTAGAACCTTCTGGGTCTTCACTGAATTCCAGTTGCTTGGGAGATGGTTCTCCCTTAAACTCTTTCCTTAACACCTTTTATGATACTTCAAGTTGTTCTCTTCTGTAATTTATAGGAGGTTGGAATTCTGTATGCTAATGAGTATGATCCCATGAAATTTGGTTGGGAGTCTGGCAAGCACAGATGATAGCCAGAATGACTCAGATGATTTTGATTATATCTGTCAGTCATACCCTGATGGATTCCAAGCAACGTAAAATCTGGATTTTTTTAGATTTTCGTTGGAAGGGGAAGAAAAATGCAAAAAAACAAAACAAAACAAGAATAACCCCATTCACTTAATAATTTGCTTAAAATAAAATTGCATATGAGGGTATGTTTGTGGAAAGCAAATTCTGAATTCACAAATGTGAGAGTTAGCACTAGAAACCTGATTCTAAGAAGGAACAGAAATAATATTATATGGCCTATCAAAACTAATCGACACAATATGAATTTCCAGTATCCAGTATTAATACTCTCAGTCTGAAGTATGAATACTTTAAAATAAAAATTCTGGAATTATTTTACAAACAATTTAGAAAATGGAAAGCTCCTTGTAGACAATTTGTAAACACATGTAACCCTTCTGCCAGTCAGAGTTGGCATCAACAAAGATCGGATTCAATATCTAGGGATTCCTTTCCAAGAATACAATGCAAAACAGGCTCAAGCCCCCATCCAGTGACCTGGGACAATTACACACTATCCCCTGGGCACCTCTAAGAGGCAATACTTCCCTTCTCGCAAGCACAGAGTCTGAGTGTAGCAAAACCTTTTAATAAAAGGAGGGGAGTAACTCAGCATTAATTTGGGAAAATACTGCAACTAGGTTCATAAACATAAACCCTGAGCAAAAGACCCACCCCCAAGTAAGTTGGGCAGTGTCCTTTTTTCCTCAGGTTCTTAAGTCCAGCAACCCAAAAGTCCCTTTAATGTGCCTGTCCCTTCTCTGCACCCCACTCACAGTTGCTGTCCTTGGTCAGTGCAGCCCCAGAGTCCAGAGGTTCATTTGCAGAGTTCATCTCCCATCCTGGGTGGAAGGGGTGGTGGTTAAAGAGGCACCTTACACGCTCTGCTGCTTGGGCACACTGCCATGCCAGCCACTTGCCACACTTCTCTGCAGGGCTCTTCTCTGGCCCTCTCCGCCAGCCGCCTTGCTGGCCACGCCTCTCCACCAGCCGCTCGGCTCGTCACTCGCCAAGATGTCTTCAGGGCCCACCACTTAACACAGCTGTCAGTGATTTCAGCTCACAGTGCTCTCAGCTGTTAGTGGCGGCGGGAGGGCAGGGCCTCACTGCTGGTGCACACTGGGCAGTCTCTTGCACCAGAGACACTGTCCCAAATTAGGTCTAATACTTAGACCTAGATATCAGTAATTTCAGCTCTGCAACATGTAACAAGACTCTCAGTTGAGTCTAAATTAGCTCTTTTATTATACGTGGAGAGAGGAGGGGTCAAATGGTGTCTAGGACCCTTAAATACAGTCCACACCACCAGATACAAGTACCTGTACCCGCCCTCTCTCAACTCATTGGGCTTTGGAACCCATGTCCCCTGCCTAGCGAGTGCTGTTCAGTTGAGGGTGAGTCCCTCCACTGGGGTATGCCAGGTACAGTTCTGCTGCCCTTGATTCACACAACCAGGATAATAACGCTTTATTACTCCTGCCCCAATAACAAGGAGACTGGGGATCCAGCACCAGCCACAAGTGATCATTTGGGCAAGCAATGACATCATGCCGAGTACGTAGGCAGGTGCCCATGCAAACGAGATCAACTCCTGAAATCCTTTTCCACAGCTCACCACTAGATGTCAGGGGAGAGCTCATTCAGACTCTGCTTACACACATAATCAGACACAATTTCTCAAATAAATCATATGCTTCTAGTTTTCACCAGGTCTTCCTCCTAAATTCTATACTCCATCTCTTACTTGCCATCCAGAATTATGGGCATATGTTCTCACCTGAACTAAGTCTTCAAGAGATAGACAACAGGACTTGTGCTTTTAAGGCTCTTTTAAAAATCTCACCCTTTAGTGTCTAAATATGGATTTAGGAGCCTACCTTTAGTTTCCTATTTTTGTAAATTTTGGCCAATGCCAATATCTGCACTTACTGGGTAACTGGGAATGTGCACGACAAATTGAACATGCAGGGTGGTGGAATTGATAGTACGCAGTTTGCCACAACTTCATCTGACAGGCAGAGGAGCAGAGAGGAAAAGTCACTTTCCCATTGGCCAAATATTGCTTTTGATTACACCGGAGTAAATCTGGAGTAGCCCTGTTGAGGCATAATCTGGCCCCAGAAGAGTAACCAAGGGGAACAAGTGCCTTCACTAGATGACATTATCCTTTGTTTCATCTTGACTTTATTGCCCTACAATCGAGCTAATTTGACTTCTCCCATCCCAAGCTCCTCCTGTACATCTCTAATGTCCCTTGTGCTTTCTTGCACTTGCTTTTCTTTTGTATGTGTGTGTGTGTTGCCCTTTAAGAAGAGGCCCCTGAAGAAGAAGAGCAAGAGGTTGAGTATGAAGAAGGTAAGTCTGTCTTTCTTTCTTGTCCTTGAATCTGGGAAGTGATGGGCTTTATGGGATGCTACCAAGTCTCAGCATTGCTGCTTCATGGTGCTGTCGTATTGGTCAGCTCTATTCAGTCTGAGTCGATGTCTCCTGTCTTCTGCTATGGTATTCCTGGCTGAATCTGAGTTTGTTGCTTTACTCTGGCTTTAGCATGACTGGAGAGCAAAGCTTCAGCCTTCCTAAGGGCCACATAGAAAGTTCTTCGGGGAGGGGGGAAAGGTTGCACTTGTTAGACAGTTGTAAAATCTGTTAATGGGTTTCTTTTAGGATGAGGCTAGTGGGCCTAGAGGTGTGATACTTCAGATAAATACTGAAAAAGCTGATGTTGACAGCTGTTTGCCCAGCACAACTCCTCACTGGAATTGGTAGATCAAGGGTAGTGAGTTCAATCCTTGAGGGGACCATTTAGGGATCTGGGGCAAAATTTGGGGATTGGTCCTGCTTTGAGCAGGGGGTTGGACTAGATGACCTCCTGAGGTCCCTGATATTCTGTGAATTCTCTGAGATGAATAGGAGGGAATTTTTTTGACAGCTGCATGAGCCTTACTATTCTCCATCAAAGCTTTGGGAGTACACATTTTAGGGGAGATTCGCAGCTGGTGTAAATCAGCAAGGCTTCATTGAAGTCAACGGAGTTGCACTGATTTACACCAGTTGAGGAATTAGTTTTGTTTCTGTATCAGAGCTATATTTTACGGAGCTCCATTCAGTTCTGGTAAAAAAAAAAATCAGACGTTCAATATAATTCAAATGAGCAGGTTGATCCTTTAACAATTTGTTATCAGTAGGGCCCTACCACAGCCATGAAAAATGTATCATGGCCATGATATCTGGTCTCCCGCCGTGAAATCTGGCCTTTTATGTACTCCTATCCTATACTATACAGATTTCACGGAGGAAGACCAGCATTTCTTACATTGGGGATCCTGACACAAAAAAGGGAGTTGCAGGAGAGTCATAAGGTTATTTTAGGGGGGTTTGTTGTTTTCCATCCTTACTTCTAAGCTGTCTTCAGAGCTGGGTGGCCAGAGAGCGGCGGCTGTTGGCCTGGTACCCACCTCTGAAGGCAGCGCCCCGCCAGCAGCAGCGCAGAAGTAAGGGTGGCAACACCATACCAGGCCATCCTTACTTGTATGCTGCTGCTGGCGGTGGTTCTGCCTTCAGAGCTGGGATCCCGGCCAGCAGCCGCCGCTCTCCAGCCGCCCAGCTCTGAAGGCAGCGCCACCAACAGCAGCGCAGAAGTAAGGGTAGCAGTACCGCAACACCCCCTACAATAACCGTGTGACCCCCTCCCCCACACAACTCCTTTTTGGGTCAGGATCTCTACAATTACAATACCGTGAAATTTCAGAGTTAAATAGCTGAAATCATGAGATTTATTATTTTTTAAATCCTATGACCGTGAAATTGACCAAAATGGACCGTGAATTTGGCAGGGGCCTAGTTATCAGCTATAAACTAGTCAGGATAAACAATTGCTAACATACTTTATACCGTAACTGCAGTGATTATTTTAATAATAACAATGACTATATTAATAAACTACTTTAATGTGTGTTACAGACAATAGCTCTCAATGGCCTTGGGACTTGCAGTATAATAATTACAAGTCACTTTGGGTTTCAGTAGCTCTGTTGGGCAAAGGTACTGTGTCCCATGATTCCTCTGGGTAATTTCTTTTCATGCATTTGAGTCATTGGACACCCTCTTCTCTCCTTTCGTTTCTTTCTTCTTTGTTATCCAGCAAGTTCAAGATTCCAGGAGTAGTGGAGAGGGAAAGGGAAAGAGTAAGTGGGGTATTTACAGAAGAACAGCATCAACTGTGGATTGACTAGTATACTTTCTTTCTTTTGCTTTTGTTCTTCAACCTGCAGCTGGAGACGAAGGAGAATACTATGATGGTAGTTTGGTGTTGTTCTGAGACAACAAAAGTATCTTTCTAACCCTACCCTTTTGTTCTCCATCTGCTTCTAATCCTCACTTGATTTAAACTCAGGAACTGGGCCAAAACATCACTGCTGCAAACATTCATTCACTGTGCATATCCAGGCTCTCTCAGGGGACTCTGCTGTGTCTGAGGTGTTTATTAGCGCATTCCATCGCCAGGGAAATTAGCACTGGGAGAACCTTGTACTCTAGAATGTTCAGCTCTAGAACCCTGCCCAGTATTCTAGGTGTGACCTAGAACCTTTAATAATGTGGTATTTTCAGCAAGGCCCCAGTTCAGAAAGGCCTGTAAGCATGTGCTTAAGTTCTATTGATGTGTTTAAAATTAAGCAAATGCTTAAATGCTTTGATGAATAGGGAAGTACTTAGACATATGCTAAAAGCTAGGCACATGCTTAGGTGCTTTACTGAATCACGATATGTCTTTGATCTAAATTGGAACTAACTCAGAATAAAACAAAATAATTCCTATTAAAATGGATGGGTAACTGATGGAGGATTTTAAGAGTTATAAGCAAATATTCATGGTATGTAAAACTTGAAATTATGCTTCCCAAATATACAGCACATGTGCCTTAACTTGAAAGCTGATCTGTGCCAGTGGCTTTGTACTCCCACCACAGGGGAAGCCCATTGTATTCAATGGGGCTGTGTATGGGTGCTAAGATCCATCTGCATGGATGCAAAAAAAACAGGCCCTGAGCCTTCAAATATTTAAATCCTAGTCCAGCAAAATCAGTAAATCACTTAAGCACATACTTAACTTCAAATATTGAAGTTGATGGGACTAAGTTAAGCACATGCTTAAGTGCTTTGGTTGATTAGGGCCTTAAGCATATATCTAACTTCACTTCTGTGAGGCATTTAATTGGCTTCAATGAGAGCAATTTACAAGAGGAAAGCTGTGCACATGCTTAAGTGTTTGCAGGATCGGGGCATGAGGGAGTTTTGGCACCGCAAATAAGCAGCTATTTGAAAAGTTTATGGAAGATTAACAACTATGTAACAGAGAAACTGCTTTTATAGAATTGGTAAACTCTAATTATTGCTGATTTAATAACTATTATTGTTCATTTTTATGATTACAATAACGAGGTCTACCGATGAGCAACACTACATAAGAGCGAGGTGATATATTATTACCTTATTACCTCTAATCTCTGTTTGGAAACTCCTCCCTCAATGAAAGATTTTTTTAAAAGATATTTTTTTCAAACAACTTTGCCCCCCCTCCCCCGCCCCATATGAGTTCTTTGTGATCATCAATGAATGCAAAGGACCAATGGGCTTTGCATACGGTCTTAAAGGAAGCCCTCATTTCTTGATGTTGTTTTGTCGCTTTCTGGATCCCAGGAGCTCTAGAGTACTAAGGGACAGCAGGTTCTAAAGTGAGAGTCTGAGGTTCTTCCAACATTAATTGAAGTCAACTCACTTTTTAAAATTTATTTTCTTGCTCACTTTTTTTCAGCCTTTTTCTTATTTTAGGAAAAACACTTTGAGAACTTTTCTCGGCCCTTTACATCAGTTTTCACTTCAGGATGTGAATTCTGTCTCTCTTTTTAAATAATATATTGCTTTGCAAGCTCTTGATGTTGGTTAGAAGTGTTGTTTCTGGCAGATGAGAGGAAGGGAAGCGACAAGAGAAATCTGATGCAGTTGAGGTGTAGTGAAGTTGGATTCTCGGAAAAGGGAGAGCACAGTAAGAATATGTTATAGATGTAACAAAAACAATGGAGGATGCCTTAATGATACATATGGAGTTCCTGTGCTATCCCACTGTGACTACCAGCAACTTCTGGAATATATGTATTATTGCAGCATCAGTGAACCTGGATTTTCAGTGGTTCTTTGCAGAACTGGCTTCTTTTGGCAGGGTGATTGTGGGGGTTTTCTCACAGACCCTCGGTTCATGGGCAGAATGCGCAGAATATGAGAGTCAGAATCCACCATATGCTTCAAAGAATAGGAATTTGCTACGACAATTCCTGAGTGTTAATAAATTTTGGCCCAGTTCCTTGATTGGTAGCCCTGAAAGAGAGAGCATCTTAAAAATAAATCCCAGCCCAATGGCCAGTTTTAGTGCATACAGTACGTTCTGTGCTGGGCCATGCACATTGCAGGATGTTTTTTGGATGAAAGCTGACCTTTTTAGTAGTCTCTCCCTTTTCTAGTTTCCTGGTGGTGCATTTAGATGTCACATCTACAATACTTTATTTTGACAACAGCAAACTAACTTTTTTTTTTTTTTGGTAATCATTTGTTCATTGAATTATTCAGAAAGCAACAATTTAGCAGCAACTGATGTGGTTGGATTCACCCAGTCAATGACAGACGGGTCAACCAAGAATAATAAACAAGCACAAAACAATCAGTCTTTCCACAGCTCTTTTTCTCTCTCTTATGTCACAAATGCCACTAACTTACAACTTCCTTGTTAAACTGGAATGGTTTGGTTATTTCCTTAGAATTTCATAGGCGAAAGGAATCCTGCGTGTCTCTGAATAACATCCAGGTCAAACTGGTTGAAGCAATTTCCCCACCGCAAATAAATAACAAAAACAAAAAAATCATACGAAAAGCTCACTGTCTATGGACAAATCGAAACAAAAGAAGATGAACAACAAAAATCCTACCTGGAGAAATAAGCTAATTTTGCTTTTATCGGGGATGATCTCTGACTTATTTTTATTTATATTCTTATGAGAGTACAGTAAAACCATGATCATTTGACACTTGATTATTTTATTATTATTATTTATTTGCACCATTGTAGCATCTAGAGACCCACAACTGCAATCAGGGCCTCATTGTGCTAGGTACACCATGCAAGCAACAGTCCACATACCCTGTAAGCAACAGTCCTTGTCTCAGAGGATTTACAAATCTAAACAGACAAGACAGCCAGCAAGTGAGAGAAAGGAACTATGAACACCTGACACTCTCTCTTCTGTGGCCCTTAGCGTATGTCTGCCCTTGGGGCTAGGGCTGTGATTCTCAGCTCGCCTAGACACACTCATCCTAGCGGTCCTGGGACTAGCGCCCTAGAAATAGTTGCATGGCACAAGCAGAGGTGAGTGGTGGCACGGTCTAGCTGTGCCGAGTACAAATCCGCCGGAACCCCAGCGAGCACGTACTCAGCATGGCTAGCCCCTGCCGCCACTTGCTGCTGTCCAGGCTGCCTCAGCTATATTGCTATTGTGAGCCAGCTAGCTCAGCGAGGGCTAATGCAAGTGTGTGTATGCAAGCTGGAGTCACGTCCCTAGCTCTAAGTGTAGTCACAGCCTTGGTTATGCCTCTCACCTTGAATCCCTTAATCAGCTCCCCCCATTAGCAAAACCCCAAATAGCTGATATTTCCTGCAAGGATTTTTCACCACTGATTTTAGAGGGGATTTTTTTTTGGCCTTATGATCGACAGGACATTGACTTTTATTTTATTTTATTCTCCCTTGTCCCACTCGCCCCCATGCCCCCACACTTGCAAAAACGGGAGGGTGATGGGGCCTATGTTGCCAATTTAGTCGTTTTCCAACACCTCCCCTGTACATTCAACACCCCCTCTAATTTCAGTTCCTGGGGAAAACATGCTGACAGTAACCTGTCACTCAAATCCCCACCAGTATAGAGGATCAATTAACAAGTGGAGCCACACTGAAGGGCTAATTAGAGGGCGAAGAAATCCCACCAGCTAGCAGCAGCTAAATACAGAGGAAGGCAGCCCTGGGAGGATAGGTGGGTGAGTGAGTGAAGGGCCTCATGAAAGGCAGAACTGGCTGCTAGCACTGCTGCCTTTCTCCCCAGAAATAAGAGCTGACTGGGACTTGTAAATATGGCAATAGTATGACTGGCGATGGCCTGCTTGAACACACTGTGGTGGTGAAGTGGCCAGGAGTGAGACTCCCAGAGTACAGGTGCTCCATTTTAAAAAAAAGGTCATCCTTTGAAATGCATCAAAATATAATTATCTGACCTCAAATAATTACAGGGAAAACATATTGTTTCTGGTTAACTGGGTGCTTGGACCAAATTCTGAGAGAAGCTGAGCTCCTCAAATTTGGCTCTGTCCACAATAGGCTGTGAGCTTTTTATTTCTAATCCATCCCACCAAGCAAACAATACAAGAACATTGTATGGCAGAATTCAGATGAATTCCTAAAAGTTCAAACTCAGCATGTGGCTATGAAAGTCAACCTGGGTCTGTAAGAGACAACATTAGGATAGAATGTATGGGCTTAATACTCCTCCACTTATGGGAGAAACTCCATTGAATTTGCTGGCATTACACTGATATAAACCCAGCATTAGAGATAGGAGAATCAGGCTCAAAGTGTATACGAAACAGCACATCACCAAAACAGTAAATGGCTGTTTGGTGCAGTAGAATGTCTCTCATTATGAAAAGCCCAGGATTGACTAACTTGGAGATGGTTTACATTGCATACTGAGGGGGTCTGTCCTCTCCTGGAGACACAAATATCACTCTCATTAACATTCATGGGAATTTTGCTTAGAATATCCACCAATGCCCCCTTATGCAGGATGCCCCCTTATGCAGAATAAGCCCCCTTAGGCAGGATGATCTTTCCAGGGTGGGTTTGAGGGCCACTGCTGTGTATGAAGGAGAGAAAGAGAGAACATGGAGACTTTGGGAAACATAGATGCCATGTGGGGATGTCTGGGAGTGAATGCGACTGGAGGTGATTTATCACAAAGCTGTTCCCCTTCTGGGCCATGTATGCAACATTTTAGTAGATCTGTAGCCAAGTTTAGCTCTCATTTACACCAGTGTAAACCCAAAATATCTCCATTGACTTTAGCGGAGTTGCTGAGAATATCCACCAGTGTAAAAGAGATGAGAAACTGACACTAGGAGGGGGAATATTCTTTTTTTACCTTTCAGCTCTGTCATCCTCCCTATAGCTTTGGTCTCCAGGGGGTAAGAACTAGCACTCATCTCATAAATGAAACCATTAACTTCCAGATGCTACGTTAGGACTTTTAAACAATCTCTTGTTTCCTTTCCTTTTCTGTAGAGTTCTGATTTGAGGTCAAATCAGCCTGCTTTCACTCACACCAAAGGGAACGGTCTCTTTTGGATGTGTATGAGGCATAACCAGTTACTCAGGGGTGTTCCTCCTAAACCTGGATTTCCCTTCAGTTTCCCAGCTTTAACAAACAACAGCTGGTGTTGTTTTTCTCATTCTAACTGTTCTCCCTCTTTTCTCCCCTCTCTTCCTGTTTTCTGTCCGTGTTTCCAAACTCAGAGGAAAAGCCCAGGCCAAAGTAAGTGTGCATTAATGGTTGTTTTTAAAAATACTGGTATAAATGTGATGACCATCCATAGACCTCCTACCAGAGAAATGTCTCCTACTACCTATGCACAGCCCTCTCCTCCCCACCATTCATGCAACATCTAGCATTTCTGGACTCTTCCCTAGACTGCCTCCATCTGTCAGAAGCTACGGTAAGACTGGCTACAGGCCAGGAAATAGAGACCAGTCCCATATCAGCTCATACATCTTTATTACAGCGAGGACTGGCACAGACATCAGGTCTCTCCAACCAAGTGCTCCTACTCCATCCCCTGTAGCACCTTGTGCTGGGTGAAGCTGAGCTCATGTTATCTGCTCATTTCTCCTGGATAGCACACAGATGGGAAGAGAGGGTACCAAGAGGGGAAAGGCAAATGTGCAGTATACTCTGCCCACCTTTCTCTGCCTGCTCTGTGGCTCCGTTTGCAACAATGTGTGCGGGTAAAAGAGAATGTCTGACGGGGACGGCAGTTTGCCACAGGCAATGAATGCTGAGGGGTTCAACATTAAATCCTTTCCATTGTTCTTCAAACCATGAAAGGGGGTATGAGTTGCAGCAGCTGGATGTGGGGAACAGGGCAGCCAATGGCAGCATGTCATGGGAGTTACCCATACTTCCAGTGTTGCTGGCAGGCAACACAGTTGGTTTGTCCTGGGCTCCACAAGGCTTGACCAGGATTCCCCAGGGATCTTCTGGCTCTAGTGGATCAGTGCCCTGATTCTCCACCAAGCCAGCATCCCAGGATGGGTCATGCAGCGTTCTCTTTGTGTTAGCAGCCTCATGGAACTTTACATGTGAGTTGTCCCATTCTGCACCTTTTTGTGCAAAATGGGATGACCCCATAAACATTTGGGATGGGTCAGCTCCCTCTATCTATTGGGTTTTCAATCAAGCCATAGCTTCAGCTGTACCTCCTCATCAACATTTCTCCCTCAGCATGGCTCCATTTGGTGAATGAGTTAATCTCTTGGTTCTTTGAGGTTCAATTCCTTCTATTTTTCATCCCCTACAGACTGACTGCTCCTAAAATACCAGAGGGTGAGAAAGTAGACTTTGATGTAAGTATTCCTGACACATGTCCATCACATATGCACACCCACCTCTTCCTGCATCACTACTAGCCTTTGTGAAAATGTCACTGCCATGTAGCCAAGGGCAAAAGGAGTCTATTTTCAGTGAAAGATTAATCTGGGGTCCATATCTGAAAAACCTGCTTACACATTGCTTTAGTTGTGCAGCTGTATTTATAGCTTAATTTGTCTTGGAAAGAGAAATCTGAAGGGTGGAAATGGAATTAGTAACTGCTTATAAAGCCTTTAGATCTTCTTCCTTGCAGACCTTTATTGTGATCTTTATCTTGGTCAGTTAATTATTCCTCGGTTTCTCAAGGACAATCCAACTGCCCTTTCAATCACTTCCGAGTCCTGTCTTTTTGCTGAGTGTTCCAGGCAGCTCCCCTGACTCAAGAATGATGAAATAAGATTAACTTTGGAGTTTCAGTGGCCAGGAAAGGACTTTCATGGTATCAAGAAACTGCACATAGTGCATGGGAAATGGTTATGTCCTTTACCAGAGGGGTAGCCGTGTTAGCCTGTATCCACAAAAACAACGAGGAGTCTGGTGGCACCTTAAAGACTAACAGATTTATTTGGGCATAAGCTTTTGGGGGGTAAAAAACCACTTCTCCTTTAATAGGCCACACAATAGATTTAAACTAAACAAACAAAAAAACCCAAACCCCATAACAATGCACCAATAAGCAGAAAAGAGATTTAAAGAAGCAAGTCCCTTGGAGGAGGCTTTCCCGGCTGTGCAGGTGCCTGTAATGAATCCACACACATAAAACAAGTTGTATCAAGTCTGTCTCTGAGAAATAGTGCTCAGAATGGCACCACCAAATAACCAAACAAGCATGGACCCAAATATGTTTCTAGTAAGTCAACAGAAAAAGAAAAAGCCCTTGTGATGAGTGGTACATGATTACATCAGGATAAGTTGTATGCTCATTCAGGGTCACTGTAGTGTTCACCTTGTCCACAAGAAAATGAAGCTTCCATTAATTTTGACTGGTGTAGGAATACTCAGGTAAAATGAGGAGTCTGCAGAGAAATGTAAAAAGAAATGTAAAATGTAAGAGTAGGTGAAATAGGATGATACATTGAAGCGAGGAAGTGGGAGCTGGGAAACCAGGACTCTGTCCCTTGTTTTACCACTGGCTATTAATTTGGGCAAGTCACTAAATGTCTCTGGCCCTGATTCAGCACCCAAGTCAATAGAAAGGCTCCCATTGACTTCCAGGTGTTGCCCCTTGTGTTTCAATTTCCTTATCTGTAAAATGAGGCTGTTCGTACTTAGCCTCCTTTGTACAGGGGCCTGAGATCCTCAGATGGAAGGAGCTGCACCAGTGTTAGATTGTTATTGTAATAACGCCTTACTGCTCCTTCAGGACATCCAAAAGAAGAGGCAGAACAAAGACCTGATTGAACTGCAAGCCTTGATTGACAATCACTTCGAGGGCAGGAAGAAGGAAGAGGAGGAACTGCTTGCCCTGAAGGAAAGAATTGTAAGTCTCTATGGTGCCATTCCCAGTGATGTCTGCTTCGGGAGGATAGTGTGTGTAATTACCTCAGAGACTCAGAACTGAACTGGAACCTTACAGACCAAATTGCTCTTTCTGTCCAACAAGTGGAGACAGGAGAACAGGGGACGATAGTCCTTTAAGGTGACTGCATCTTGTTCCCAATGTGATCAAGATAATGACGGTGCATTTTTGGCTGGTGTAGAGTGGAATGTGCCCATGTGGAAATCAAGGACACCTTGCAGTGGTAGCCTTAATGAGGCTTGGGTCAGTGCACTAGCCTCTCAGATATGAAGAGCTAAATGCAAACGTGGATTAGGTCCCAAATGAAAATAAGTCTTGGGTCTTCTTGTCCTTCCTCAGGGGTGTGTTTGTTTATACTACAAAACACCATGTACAGTTAAGCACAGCTCAGGACCACAGGCCATTTCTGCTCTGACATATCCAGGAGGAGGTTGCTGCAGGCCAGGTCTGAGGTGAATTGGGTAAAGTGATGAGGTGGACTTAAGACTGGAGTAGCAGGGCTTAGGCAGGTCAGGGACGAGGTAGAATGGCAGAGGTGTGCGGTGGGACTCAGAACTAGAACATCAAGGGGTGTTGCAGGTTAGAACAAAGGTGCATTAACAGAGCTGTATGTGAAGCCCATAACTAGGATAGCATGGGTTGTTAAAGGCTCCAGCGGCGATTTAATGGTGTGGGGGGAAGGGGCAGCTGTCCCGGGGCCCAGGGATTTAAAAGGGCCTGGGGCTCTGGCCGCTGCCACAGTAGCGATGGCTGGGAGCCCTGGGCCCTTTTAAATCGCCAGGCCCTGGGACAGCTGCCCCTTCCCCGCTCCTACCATTGGCAGCCCTGCTGGTAGGATCCCTACTGGCAGGGCCGCCAAAGCAGTGTGTGTGTATGTGTTGGGGCGGGGCACAAGGGGCAGCGCTTTAATATTGCCTACGTACGAACTGGTACCAGCAGCCACTTCTTACCGGTACGCTGTACTGGCCCATACTGGCCTACTTTCACCCCTGGGTGGATGAGGCATAACCATTTTGAAAACAGGTGTAGAAACCATCTGCTAGCCTTGGGTCCCCTCTGTAGATGGACAGTCTATTCTATTTGCTCAATTCTGACTTGAGGGAAGCCTGTCCCACACTGCACAGAGGTGACCATACTCATTGTAACCCATCCCTGTTCTCAGCCTCCCAGGTGTTTTACAGTCATGGAATTCACCTGGGGCCGTTCAGCTGGCTATGTGCCTCATCCTGCACGTTTTGGTAAAGTAATGGGAACGGTCCACTGCCTAATATGGAAACTAAAATCCTTTATAAAGCTTTGGAGACAAATAAAGCCACATACTGATGACTCTGTGCCTCTTCCTTTGTTTTGGGCAGGAGAAACGCAGAGCCGAAAGGGCAGAACAACAAAGAATCCGGGCTGAGAATGAGAAGGAGCGTCAGGTCAGGCTTGCGGTATGTGCCTCTGCTTTCTGTTTTCCTCTTGGCACATAACAAGAAAGTACCTGGGTTCAGACCTTGTTCGGGAACTGTGAAAGGAAATGGAGAGAAGCTTTAGGTCCTGCCTGCCTCAGGAACACCAGAGAAGATACTGCTAGTCTCCTCATTACAGTGAGGCTCACTGGGCAGAGCCTGGGAAGGAAGCAGCTATAACTTCCCAGACGCATACATTCCTACATCATTCCCTGCAGTGACTCCTGCTGCTAGTGGAATAGGTGTGGGCTCCCCCAGCCAAAGTCCTTTCAGTAACTTGTTTTTCTATGGTGCATTCTGCAGGAGGAGAAGGTAAGAAGAGAGGAAGAAGATGCTAAGAGAAGAGCTGAGGATGACCTGAAGAAAAAGAAGGCTCTGACCTCCATGGGTGCCACATACAGCAGCTATTTGGCAAAGGTAAAGGCATTGATCAATGGATGAAATAGGGAGGCAATAAACACACCTCTCTGAATTTTATCACCACTCGCATACCTCTCTGTCCCCACTGAGTCTCCTAAATTCTCTACCAATCATTTGGAATTCTCTAAGTTTGTTCCAGCAGTTGCTAGGAATCGCTTAGATTTTCATGACAACTCCTATAACTGCTTGGGATTCCCTGAAGTTTCAAGGCCATTGCATAACTTTTAGGAGTGTCTCAGCTTCTATGGAGTAAGTGTTGTTGGGAATGCGTTAATGTCTCCAGAATGACCCCAGTGCATCTGCCCGGAAATGCTTGAGTACGTGTCCATGGTTCCTTAGCCCTTCCACAATATCCCTGTACTTCATCCTGAATTTGTGCAGGGCAGCATCCACTGATATTCTGGGCGTATGTTTCCTACAGGCTGACCAGAAGAGAGGAAAGAAGCAGACTGCTAGGGAAATGAAGAAGAAGATCTTGGCAGAGAGGCGCAAAACACTAAACATTGACCACCTGAATGAAGACAAGCTGAGGTAACATGCCATCTTCATTTGCTGCAGGTAGATTAGATGATTTCTCAGGGAAGTCAAGGCTGACAGCTCTGAATGAGGACACAGAGAGATTTCTTCTAGTGGTCTGGGGCCTACCACACTGAAGGAACTTCCTGATAAGGCAACTGTGGAGCCTTTATGAAGCCAATGCTAAATTGTGCCTTTGGCTGTGCTGGGAAAAAGGGGCAACAGATGTCATTGTACATGAGGTGGACATCCAGCCGTGATCATGGCTTAGTCAGACTGCCTTCCTTCTGCTGCTAATCAAGCTACGGTTGCCACTTATCTCCTGGGACCATGACATCCTGTAAACCTACAGACTAGTTCGGCTCAGCTGAGCTCAGGTTCATTTTGGGCACTGTGCTACCGTGATGTTCCACCATGGCACGTTGTCACAACATGAGGCTGCCTCTTCATTCCATGATGTGTGAGTGTATTAGGTGAGGAGAGGGTGGTGCAACATCAACACACGCTGAAGCAACTGCATGACATGAGAGGTAGAGAGGAGCATGTTAGCTTTGATACGTCCCATCCCCCACACAGCTAACCTTGCCTTGTAGACGGTCCTCAAAATCCTAAAAACCAAACAGTCTAAAATCTAAGGGAAATTAGGGACATAGAAAGAGAGTGTGCTGTAGGAGGACCTGTGTGCCCTGGGATATAAAAGGAATGGTAGGGGCCACTTTAGAAATGGCACCCTACAGAAGAGCCAACCCTGGTGCAGATGGGGGCAGAACAATGGTGGATGTCCCGAAACAGAAAGGGTTGTTTGTAATGTGGTTAGTGTCATAATTGTAGGAGTACTGCAATCCAAGGAGGTGGATGGATAAGGATAGGGAAGAAGAGCAGGCCTCTGTCAACATCAGTAATAGTTGAGATGGGTCTGCAATGCAAAAATCTAGATGTGAACTGTCTCAGAGTTTGGGGGGTTCTAGAGATCTAGTGTTCTGGTCCAAGCCAATCTCTAACTAATGTTACACTGGGCCAGTTTTGCTCATCCACCTTAGCCCTGAGACTGGTGAAAGCTACCATGCCAATTGCTCAGCCCAATTGCTCATTCAAACTTTGGAATCCCACTCACCACTTCCCCTCCAGTTCCCCTGGGTTCTTTAGTGAGCGACAAAGAGCCGAGTAAATAAATACATTTGTGAAAGGGTGTTAATGCCTGATAAGAGGAAACAGTGCAAGGCTGAAATGTTAACATGGATAAAGCTGAGGAAAATAAAATCTGACCATAAAAATAGTCAGTGACATGAAGCTGGGGAGGAGTTTTGAAGGGGAAGCTGTATGGGCTGCGTGCACACACACACATGCCACACACACACACACACAAATTTGCTACTAGTGTCCTGGGGGCCACAGCAAACATGTGACATTTCAAATGTATGAAATATTTCTCCTGTCTTCCTCCCTCTGCAATGCATAGGGATAAGGCCAAGGAACTGTGGGATTGGTTATACCAGCTGGAAACTGAAAAATATGAATTTGGAGAGAAGATGAAGAGTCAAAAATATGAGGTGGGTTGAGAAGCAAGTTGGTCATGGCACCAGTCACCTCTGGGTCCAATCTGCAGGAAAGCTGTGCAACTCCCATAGGAAATGTGGTGTGGAGATATCATTAAGCTAGTTCCACACACAACTTTTGGAATATTTACCCAGCAGGGTAAATTGCCAGAGCCATGCATGGCATACGGGAATCATATTTCCCATAACTGTATACCTACCACATGCATGGGGCTATTATTAGGAGGCTGCAATTGAGTCTTAAAGTTGGAATTGATTAGACCAGAATCTATGAAAATGAGACACGCCCCACAATGGGAAAAGAAAAACCCCATTGTTTATTAGTTTGGAAGAGAGGTATGAAAAGGGGTTGGTCAGATGCTTTCAGTTGCCTGTCTCCCTCACCAAGTGACTTTCTTAACCACATGTTCATTTTCATACTTAAATTTTGGAATTTTTATTTCCATCATAGAGTTAAAACAAAAAGTGTGGGACGGAAATGACCCCCTGTGGACTGAACTCTTAGGAGGCCCTTGATGAAATCTATGCCTCTGTAGATGTGCATCTTACTGAAGTGCCACATGGTATCAGAGTGCTGACATGTCCCTTTCACGTCTGATCATGGGATATGCCCATACCCAACTGCACTACACTTCAGTGACCAGAATCCTGCTGGGATCGATATTTCTGGCTGCTTTTCTCTGTCTTCACTTCCTTTTTCCAATTTTTTTAAAATACTTGGACTGAGGACAACCTACACCAACATGATTATCTTAATCTCTCTTAGATTATATCACTACGTAGCAGGGTGCAGGCGCTATCCAAGTTGTAAGTACAAAGAGTTCGCCCATGTGACAGCAGCAGCGAAGTCTGCTAAAATGCATGAGCCTCCTGCATGGCGAGATTTTGCGCGCTTGCGCACGCAGGTGGACAGCGCACCAGCACTCAGTTCCATCTGGCAGAGGGATGAGGAGACTGAGTCTTGCGTGTCTCCCTTCACTTCATTTTTCTCTCACCTTCCATTCTTGTAAAGCAGGGTGTAGTCTGAACAGTAGCACAAAATCACAGTGGTGTTTAACAGTTGCTGTTGGATGATTCATGTATGCTCAGATGGAATGAATCTTCTGGACACTGCATGACAGCCCGCTAGTTTAAATGGAATGTAGCAGCACCGCAGATAAAGTGGGAATTGTTATGTTCATGGCACACATACAAAGAAATTAGATAAAAACAGAAAAATACTCTTTCTGGAAGGTTGCAACATAACACTAAATTTCTTAGAATTTAGAATAACACACAAGAACCCCAAAACAGAGAGAGATAAAGCAGGCTGCTCCTTAAACCAGAGAAGCAAAAATTAACCTACCTTACTCTAAGTTGGCTTTGTGCAGAACTGACTGCTGAAAGATCCAGACTGCATGCTTCCCTGTAGAGCCCCAAAGCTTATAGAAAGTACAAAAGGAAAAAGAGACGAGAGCAGAGTGTAATAAAGAAAGAGGGAGGGAGGGGAAAAGGAGACAGAAAGAAAAAAGGTCAGAATGAGTAGGAAGGCAGAGAAGAGTGAGAAAGAAAGGAGAGAGAGATGGGAAGGGAAAGTGTGAGAAGGAAAAAGAGAAGAAGACATAAAATAACAAAGAAAGCAAGGGAGAGAAAAAGGAAGAAAATTGGACACACAAGATGTCAGGGAGGGGGCCTGGTTTTAAGCACTAGCCTCTGTGTGTACATCTTCACTGTGTTTTAAAACCCATGGCAGTGAGTCTCAGAGCCCAGATCTACATACTTAAGCTCATGGGGCTTGAGTTACTGTTCTAAAAGCAGCTGTGTAGACATTTGAGGTCAGGCTGGAGATCAGTGGAGACTGTGGTGGGAACTGGGCTTCAGAGCCCGAGCTCCTGTCTGAGCTGCACTGTCTACACTGCTGTTTCTAGTGCCATAGCATGAGCCCCGTGAGCCCTAGCATGAGCCCCGTGAGCCCTAGCCTGTAGACCTGGCCTCTGAGACCCAGTGCTGAAAGTTTTAAAACGTAGTGTTGCTGTACCCCTATTGCTTACTGGTACTGTGTAAGACACTGAATGCTGTGCCGGCTGTCACTGGTTTAGCAGAAAAGGTGAGTCTCAAGCCCTTGAGTCAGTTTGAAGGGCAAAGCTGACTCTCTGCCAGGTCTGAAAAAAATACCCAATTGCGATAAATGAGTCAAATCCATGGAGCAGATTTTTAAACTACCGTGAGTAAGTACAGAATGCAGCAGATCTTTCCTTTTCGATGTTGTCCTGTTGCCTCTAATGTCTCAGTCTTGGTCTCTTTCTTTTTTTTCTTTTTCTTTTCCTGTTTGCCATGGGAAAACTTGGCCCAGGAAATCCGAGATGGCAGACCATCCTGAAATGTGATCTTTTCCTGTTTCAAGCACTGGGAATGTCAAATGCCATGCGACTCTTGCTGGGTCACCAGTTCTTTGACTGTGAGTTTGCTCAGAACATGGAGTCCAGAGGCAATGGAGAATTCTGAATTACACCAGAGCAGAAGTAGGGGGAGGAGGGGGCTCAGCAGGTGAACATTCACCTCTGCAAACCAGGGTTTGATCCTGATTGGGTTACACAGGAAAAATGAAACGAACAGAAGTTGGTTGTAGACTCATTCTAGTTTTTAGTGGACATATATTCAGAGCACAAAGATCACTGCAAGTACTTGAATAGCAAGACTGCACGTCAGGACTGAGGTGCTAAATCAGGCAAAACAACATAGCAGCCACACATTGGGTCTACACATCTGGTACTTTATGTATTAGCCCTTCACTTTCCTGAGCATCTAGTTCGTATCTAAAATTCCACCATGATTAAGAGAGGATGAGCTCATCTTCATCATGAATTCCCCCCCCCCCCCCCGCCGCCCCAGGGGCAATGAGACACAAGTATTACCACACCACAAATTGCCAGAGTCTGGAAGATGGCTTGGGAAGGACCTCAAATCCTCCACTCCAGCCCTTCTTTCTATGGTTGCTGTGTTTCCTTTCTAATATTTCCTCTCTGTCCCCTTTGGGAACCCTTCAGTCTATTAGAGAAATGTCTGCAAGGGGTTTTGCAATGTGCATTCTCTACCTCCTGCCCCCAAATCAGCTCCAGAGCTGCTCTACTAATTAGCCTGCAGAAGGTACTAGGAGAGCACTTGCCCCATCAGCCTAATGCCTTGGGGCCTGATCCAAAGCCTACTGAAGACAACAGGAGTATTTCCATGGACCTGTGGAGACTAACTATCAAGATATCAGGAGGTGCCTAAGCCCGGTAATACCCCTCAGTTGGAGTATCCCTCATTCCCAAAGTGCAGCAGTCTCTTTATATGATATTGATGGGTAGAGGCAAGTGCATCCTGCACCCCTCCAATATACTTCCCCTCTCTTGAAAGCCCTGGAGTTATTTGTTGCTGAGCATTCTCACTAGTTTTCCTCCAGCTTTGGAGCTTTTCTGTTTCCAATTTCTCACCTGTCCAGGTCAACCCCACCTTCCACTTCAATGTTGCTAGCTACCTGGTAAATTTACAGCTGGGATGGTGGGACGGTGAGGACAACACACACACAAGGAGATCACACTTCTCAGGGTCTCCTGAGCTTTCAAAATGGCCAATTTATGACTTTCCAGGCCACTTACCTGAAGTTTGGCTATACATGAGTTCACCATAAATGGGTTCCATTGTATATGAATTAATGAATTATTTTAACAAGGGCAACAGCACCGTCCCTTCAGTTGAATCCCTCATCTGTGCCTCCTTGTAAAACATGAAATTAGCTTGTAAATTTACTGCTAGTTAGCAACCTCTCACTCAAGAGAGTTTTCATTTGAAAAGAAAGAGTTTCTCCCATCACAGGCACCTGTCTCCAGAACTCCAGCCAGGTAAACCACTTCCCTCCCCATGGGGAAACCAGGTCAATTGGCAGAGCTCTTTGAAAACCCTAGTCATGTATGTTGTTTGCAGATCACCACCCTCAGGAACCGGATTGATCAGGCCCAGAAGCAGTAAGTACCTATGTCCCAGCCTAAAGTCTGGGATATCTGCTCAGTGTTCCAGCAGACACTTCAGCTTTGATGCTGACATTTTCTTCTCAGAAGGGAATGAGGCGAGAGGTGGAAGGGCAACCTCCAACCCGCCCCCACCCTTAGAAAATGATGGTCAAACTGAAGTGAATCCATAACCTAATGTAAAAGAACCATCATCTCCCACGCACACACCTTCCCACAATCGCTGCAGACACCAGTCACTCAAGCTGTGACTGTTAGTATTGGCTGAAGTGTTTTGAACACAGGAATGGAAATGGCCTTTGCTTATACAGGATGGAGAAGTGATTGCCGAGATTGCAAGGAAAGGTGTGTAATAAAACTGACATCCAGGGTTACCCCGTCACATGGATGTCATGTGATCAGGGGTGTGGGTTCTTTTCATTGGTATATGACCTCCCACTTTCCTTCCCCACCTTACCTCTTTAATTTAATTTCTTTCCTGCTTGTGAGTCCCATGTCTTTGTTGTTGCATGTTTTCATCAGGAGACCTCAATACATCAGAGACAAGGGGCTGGGGGAGGGAGGGGTGTGTAGAGAAGTAAAAGGCAAGGAGGAGGAGTCACGGGAAGAAGGTGAGGGAAGCTCTCCAAAAGCTGAAATCTCCTCTTTGCAGTTTCTCTGTACCATGAAGAGCTCCAGTCATGCAAATGACTCAAAGATATAGGTATCACCAAGGACCAAACAGTCTTTCCCTTGCCCCCCATTCACACTGGAATGTCAAATGAATTTAACATTTTTTTGGGTGCAGTTCTCTGTAGATTCCAAACACAGGGCTTGATGTATTTGCTTCATAGGGAGTATGGGGGTCTCAAAGAACCTTGCAAGATTATACCTTGCAAGATTAGGCTCATCTGCGTGGTTTTCTTCCTCCTATGTCTTCTGATCTCACTACCAAAAAACCAACATGAAATGTTACCATGCTAGGGACCCTCCCAATTATCCAAAGAGGTGATATTTTTCCTGGAAGCATCTCTTTCCAGAGATGGTTCTTCTGGGTGTGATGGCACTTCATTTGGAAAGGTATGATTGTGGATCCCTCCAGGTATTAGGGGGCATTTCTCCATCAGAAACAGAGCATGACATTCTAAAGTAAAAGTCTTTCATCCTGGTGTATTAGCCTTCTATGGTCCCTTTTTGTTTTAAAGGAACAATAACCCCCCAGAAGCATAGCCTAAAGGCAGGCATAACATGAAACATCTTAGACCTTGTGAAACTCGAAGTGACAAGGGCTCTATATTAACTTGGGGAACTGATTGTTAGGCATGCAGCTCCTACAGTGATTTTTGATCCAGTCCAAAAGCCAGCATAATGGAGAATGAGATGAGTTTAAAGAAGACTGAGCTTAATAATATGTCAGACAGGATATTCTCTGAGTAAACAGACAATAACCCCTTGTCTCTCATGTAAAAGGTTAATTTTCGGAATAGACTGTCTTCTATTCTAAAGTGGGTTGAGAGGTAAAGTATTCACTGTATGTGTGTATGAGTCACTATGGAAGACTCCCGTACGTAAGCCTACTACTCCTGAACAAACCCACTGTAAGTTGGGGCCGATATAACCATGCTAAATATGCCCTTCTGTTGTTGCCTTTTTAATCCGTTCCCTGCTGCCTCGAGGAACATGTGTTCCGAATGCAGCTTCCTTGGAAACATCCATTCCAACCAACACAACATTCGCTATCTGCTTCCACTGGCCAGACAGATTGTTTGCTCGGCACCCTTGCTTTGCCGTTTAGCACCAAAAAGATTAAACAGCTTGCAAGTGGTTTGATTCAAGAAGTAGCCTTATTGGTGTATGTTTGGGATGGAAGGGTACGGGTTATGCAGTGCACAAGGAATCAGTGCATTGCACAGGGACCCATTGCTGACACAGTGCAGAGCCTAACCAGACTAACTTTCTCACTTGGAACACACCTGGAAGCAGGCATGCATCTGTTTCACAGCAGGAGGGTAAGTGGATTGCATGTTGAAATGCTATTCTGCATGCAAGAAGATATTACTTGGTAATCATTTCCTCAGGGTGCTTTACAAGCCTTAGCTTGAGGATCATATGGAGACTACATCCATACATCCCCCAGTAAGACTGGGTTACTGGTACCAATGAGGGTCAGAAGAGGACACATGTAATTCTAGGGAACCAGAATCATCTCTTTGCATGTGTTAAAACATTTTATAATTCTTTACATTCCCCAGGCATTGTAGGGGGGGGGGGGGGGAATTCAGTCCCCTTTACTATGGCAAAGTAATTCTTTTATTCAGCCTTAGTTTTATTTAAATATTTTTCTGATCATTTTGCATGGGAATAATTTCTAAAATTCTACTGTCAGGTGACTTGAGCCTCTGGGCACTGTACTGGCACAGTCCTGTTTGAGGAAGTCCTTTCCATTTCCAGAGTTGCACCTGAACCCATAATCCAGATCTGAACTTGGGAAATGTTCAGATCTGGAACTGGATCTGCACTCTGCAGTTTGGGGCCCATGTCCACTAGTTTCAAGAATCCCCTTCTCTCTGGGCATACAATTCAGTAAGCGGCAAAGCCTCTCACCCCTCCATGCTTATACTTTCTGGCCATCCTCTGAAGACCCCAAGTAAAAATCTGCTTCCACCAATATCTCTATCCTCAGAATGTGCTACATCTGCTCTGGAGCAGGTGGCATCCAATTCACCGGCTATCTGATCAGCCTGCTCTGCTGACTTGAGGTTTAGAGCTTCTCAGCAAAGTCGCAGCTGATTGAAAAGTCAAAAGGTCAGAGGACTTTTCTGCAGCAGTCACACTGATGTGTTTTCCTTCTTTCTGTACTACAGCAGCAAGAAAGCAGGAGCCAAGGGCAAAGTTGGAGGGCGTTGGAAGTAAAGAAACAAGAGGTGACTGCAGGCAGGATCATCCCCGGTGGTGTGGCTAAACATTGCTAGCCTCCCCCTAACCCCTTCACAAATCAATTTCACTCCCATGCTTGAGCAAAACTACAACACCAGCCTGGATTGCCTACTCCTTTTTTAAGGACTCCAGCAGTGTCCTGAACCAAAAGGAAGGAGGTTCCCGTGGAACAGAGATGACTCCCTGCTGGCACCTTTCCTGCTTCATGTGCCCTTTGTTTTCCTGATGCCCGCCTTCTGCTCCGTAGATTGCTATGTATGACTCTCTGGATTTTGTAAATAAAGTGTGATCGATACCTTCTTCAATTATATATCTCATGACTGCTGTTTCGGGTTCTTCTATTCAATTCCGATAGATTAAAATTGTATCCAACTTTGTAAAGACTTCAAGAGGATGTTCAAGTGCAATTCATTCAAACATTATATAGAAGCGTCTATTAGGGCAATGAAAACTTAAATTTAAATCTAAAATCTAATATTAAAATATGACAGATCTGGGTGATTCAGCAAAGATGCTCTCTGAGGCCAGGGAACACAAAAACACTCTGGATAAAATGCATTTGGTAAAGTAAGGATTCAAGAAGTCAGAGTTCTCCTGGGTGTTTTATTTGCCCAGTGTTTGGTTCATCATGAGGGGAAGAGGGAAAGCAGAAGTGCTGGCCAACTTTTATCCTTATATATTTCTAACTATCATTAACTTTTCAGAGTTTCTGGTGCCCCAAGTTGGATGAAATTTTAGGTTCCCAAATGGGATCAGAAATGGAAACATTTTTTTCACAAGGAGTTTTCACTAACAAATGAGGAAGGCTGTTGAATTACACCTTTCTAATAAGAAATCATTCTAATATAGTCTCATCTCCTTTTTGCTGCAGTAATAGGCAGAAACTCCATTGACAGTTGAAAGAACACCAAGAATCATCGAAGGATAGATATGGAAAAGCCCTGCTAAGTCATCCAATCCATCTCCAGGGACCAATGCAGGACTGTTCCCTACAGCAATGGTTCTCAGTCAGGGGTACTGGTACCCCCAGGGGTATGCAGAGGTCTTCCAGGGGGTACATCAACTCATCTAGATATTTGCCTAGTTTTACAACAGGCTACATAAAAAGCACTAGCAAAGTCAGTACAAACTAAAATTTCATACTATGACTTGTTTATACTGGTCTTTATACCGAAACAGTGGGTTTTCACCACTTCCATTGGGAAACTAGTTCATAATCAAACCGATCTCACTATGTGGAATTTTCTGCTGGACACTTAGCCTACTGTTTTGCTTTCTTAATTGTCTCCCAATACTTCTCACCATTCTCCTTTGTTCCACACTGTAATTCTTCTAGCCTGGTGTTTGTACCCTTTAATGCTGGTGTACAGTTCAGGCTATCCAGGTTCAAAAACGATGAATTCAAACTGGCACAGGTGCAGAAAAGGGCCACTAGGATGATCAGCGCAATGGAGACCCTATCTTATAAGAGGAGAGTATAAGAAAGAGATGTGTTTAGCCTAGTAAAACAAAGGCTGAGAGGAGTTATGATTGCTCTCTACAAATACATCGGGGGAATAAACAGCAGAAAGGGTGAAGAGCTATTTAAGCTAAAGGACAGGGTTGACAACAACAACAAATGGGTATAAACTGGCAGTGAATAAATTTAGGCTGGAAATTAGAAGATTTCGAGCAGTCAGAGGAATGATGATCTGGAGCAGCCTTGGTGTGTGTAGGGGGGACAGACAACCTAACAAGTGTTAAGATGGTACTTGATACAATTACGATCAGGATTATATGATGAGGTTGCCTGCAATAGCAAAGGGCTGGACTTAATGACCCAAGAGGTCACTTCCAGTCCTATGTTCAAGTATCTGTGGATTTTGACCAGTCCTCTTTTAGTTATTTCTTAGCCAAACTACACATGAAAACTTGGCACAGTCTCTAAATCTTTCTTCACAAGCCAATCTCTTCCATTGTACTATTTTCCCCACGCACAAAGTTGCATGAATTTTTCCAAGGTGAATCGTATTGGGTTATTTTCTGCCCATATTTCTAATCTATCTAGGTCACCTTGTATTATTTCTCTGTCCTCACTGGGGTTTGCAACTTTTCCAAATTTAGTATCACTGTGAATTTCATTAATGTGCTGTTTACTCCCTCTTTGAGTAGGAAGTGATGGATAATTAACTACGGGTATGTCTACACTACAACTGCTATAGCAGCACAGCTATGGCACTGCAGGTGTGCAGCTGCAGTACTGTAGTGTAGATACTTCATATATCAACAGTTTTTTTCCCCACTGATGTTGTGAATCCACCTCTCCAAGAGGCAGTAGCTTCTGTTGACCTAGCAGCATCTACACTGTGCGATAGGTCGACCTAAATATGGCATTCATGGCAACCTGAGCCACATAGCTAGGACCATCTAATTTTTAAATGTAGACTGGGCCTAAGCCTGAACTAAGGAATCCTGATTAGATATATCTTCCATCTACTCTGTACTTAAATCACTGCCCTGTTTAAGGTTTTGATCCAGTTTTTAGTCCACATAATACTGCTCCTATACAAGACAACTGAAATTAATTTTTCAATCTAGATTGAAAAACTGTATCAAACACAATAATATCTGAATATACATCACAGCCACTGCATTTGCGTCACCCAGTAACCAAACACACACAGAAGGACGCTGGAGGTCTGGAACTCTGCTGCCTGGGAAAACATAGGCAGAGACAGCAGGTTGCAGCTGGTTTACATTTAATAGGACAAGATGTGAGTGATGATTCCCTGTGCAAGAAACAAACAAGTCCATTTTGCCACATTGCCCCAGGCTATGAGGGCTGCATTCCAATGCCTGTAAGGCTGGACCTAAAGCAGGTGTTTTTCTTCAAGCCCCAGCTCCTGGAATCAGGAGAATCTCGACGTCCATTTAAATTAAAAGTAGGCGTCTCAGGCCCTGGCGGTTGCACAGCAAAGCGACAAGGACCCCCCCCCCCCGGCTCAGTGTAGTCCATAGGCTCAGAAACCAGGGAGCCAAGGCGATTTTTAAGGCAACCTCGCGAGGTTTGGGGGTAGGGCTGACGGCTGATGTTTTTTGAAGGCTGGGGGCTGCCACCCAGGAACAGGGGTTGAAAAGCCCTGCTGTGGCTGGGGGCCAGGCACCCCTGTGGGATCCCACCTCGCCTACGTCCCTGGGGCTGGCTTGGGCCACGCGCCCCCTTCCCCAGCCTAGCCCAGCCCGACGGGCGCCCCTGGCGCGGAACGCTCGCGTGCCGCGAGGCCTCCCGAGCTGCAGGGGGCGATAGCGCCGCCTCCGCCTGCAGTGAGCCGGCCGGGGAGACTCTCCTGTGCCGGGCCCCGCTCGCCGCAGCGGCCCGGACGGACACTGGGCGCGGCCGCTGGGGGCCGCAGGGGGGAGGGGAACGCTGCGCGCGCGGCGGGGCCATGGCCAGCGGAAAGGTTCTGTGAGTAGCCGGCCCCGCCCCCCTCCGTGGTTCACCCACGCGCGAAGGGTCCCGAGGCTGCCGCGTCAGGGCATCACCCCCCCCCCCCGTCCCGCCGCGCGCGCTCGCCGCGAGCCCGGCCCCTGGCGCCTCCTGGCTCCCCTCCCGGCTAGGCCGCGTCGGCGGGGTAGGGAGGCCGCCTCCGCTCTGGGGGTAACCGTGCCGCCCCCGAGCCGCCTCCCCGCCCAGATTTCGCACAGCTCCCCCCCAGGCCGAGCCCCCGCGCCTCCAGGGCAGCTCCGGAGCCCCGCAGGGCGGGCCCTACCCGTGTCTGGCTACCGCCGCGGGAGGGGGTGGGTTTAGTCCAAGCCCTGGACCCCCCCCCCCCCACTCCCCCAGCAACAGCGGCTCAGTTCCCTCCTCTCAGGGGCACTTCGGTCTTGTTCCCTGGATTTCTCCCTGGAGCTCTCCGTATGTTTGTGTCCTTCCCTCCCCTCGTTCCCCCCCCCCCCTTCTTCCCTCATGCTGGTGCTGCCCCACTAACGCTGCCTCCTTCTCCGATTCCCGCCTGCCGTCTTTTCCTGCCGTCCCTTCCCTTTTGCTGTCTCCTTCCTAAGCGGCCTGCGAGCTTCTGGCTCGCAGGTTTGGTCCCTTCCCCTGTTGCAAGGACCTCTCCCAAACGATGCTGTGTACTGCTTTGGATGGTAGAGAAGAGTTGAATCCTGACACTCGTTTAAAGCCGTGTGTCTGGGCTTGTTTGTTCTTTAGAAATATCATCATATGGTGCTGATTAAGGGTTGCCGCCAAGCGCATGATTTATTCTTTATACATGCTGCTGCCTGTTTGTTTTTTTTAAACTAAAGTGCAAAAACATGTCTGTCTGGCAAAGGAATAAGCCAGTTTAAAATAAAACAGTGCTGTGGCTGAGGTTTATGTTCTTTGCTGTGTGTACAGTATGTGATTTCACTCGGGGAGTGAAACCATTAAAACCAAGATTTTATAATACCACGAGTGTTTTATGAGTAACTTTGATGTTTTCCCCCCTTTAGCTACCCCCTGTACCAGCTGGGAAACCCCCAGCTGCGGATTTTCCGACCTAACTTCTTCATGACGCTGGTGAGGCCTGGTGTGCCACAGCCAGAAGACACTGTACAGTTCCGTGTCTCTATGCAGTAAGTGCAAGCAGAGAAACAGTAGATGAAAGGGTCATCTGCTTCTCAGTTTGAAAGCCTTCAGGGATAGCAATCTAAATAATGAGAAGAACAATATCTCTGGAAATGCAGTTAACTAGGCTTGAGGTCAGATTTTGTTGTTGTTAGTTACAGTAGACTTGGGTTGTAATTAGAATTTGTTAAATCTCCCATGTTGTGAAACTTCATGCCCACTGTTTGAGCAGATAAGTCCATTGCCTGGATGCCATGTGCAGTGAATGTTGCACGCACTGTTGCAAGCATGCTCCTTGAACTAGAAATAATATCTACATTATTGATAACATCTTTCATTGTGAAGCATCCAAAAGCCATTTGCCAACCAAAATGCATACTGTTATTGGAATTGCTTCACCAAATGCAGGCATCTCTGGAGTGAAACATAGCAACACTACATTGCAGTTTCAGACAGCATGTGTAGAATACCATATCTAACTGAAACTCAAGGGGAATTTTAGGTAGGACCTTTAAGCGAACACTCCTGCACCTATTTAAAGGACATAAGATCTTTAGTTATCACAAGTGTTCAGGAGCTGAGTTTTACATCTCACCCAAAATATGCCACGTCCAACAACAGTGTCTCTTTACAACATGCTTGGTAATAGTTCTGTACTGATTTGGAGGCAAGAAGTGACACCTGTTTAGTTATTGACAGTTTTCTCCACCATGTAGGTAATC